TCAGTTTAGAAAGTTGCCAGTCTTTTTATAAATAAATATTCAAGTTGCTGTCGTGGATTTGATTTGCACTTACGTTGAAGATAAAAAGAACAAAAGACAAATTGCTGGACTGACATTTGCCAGAGTAGAGCACCAGAGAGCTCTAACAAGAAGAATACCAGGTAAATAGTGGGAAACCACAACTAGATGCTGACAGACAGACAGACACAGAGACAGCAGGTTCATTGAAGAACAATGACAAAAAGATGCTGAATGACACAAATACCCTGCATAAATGTCACATGTACCAACAAAAACACATTAAAATGAAGTTACTTTGAAGAAACTCAACATATGCATGCATACTTTGTGTTTGCTGTAATTTTCTTATCCTTCAACCAGTGAAAATACAATGTAGGGAATGCATATTAAACATTCCACATACTTTTTACAAAATATGCGTCATTCATTTTTTCACCTACATGAGAATTTCAAATCACATAATATCAGAGGCAGAATCAGAAATGCTTTAAAAAAAGGTTGAAATCACTAAGAAATACCAATAAAACTGTTTCACATTTCAGTTAATTCCTTTTTTTCTTAACAATCATTTTAGTTACATGGCTGCAAGCTGCACCAATAAATGCTTTCATTCTCCTTGTCTAATAAACATTCAGGGGTTTTCTGAAGAGATAATGTTTGATTTTCCTTAGACAAATTACCAGGAATAACTTGAGAAGGTAACTACATATTACTTTGTATCTACATCCTTACTTTCATCATCGCCTGCAGCAGTAAACTACAGAACCACTGAGACAATGAAAGCATTAATTATTACAGAAAGGCACATAAAACAGTGTGACGCTGTTTAAACCAGGACATAAAAAGGAGGCGCAGCTGACTACTTACCAAACGATTCCCTGAGCTCCAGAGCCAATGGGCTTTAAATTCTGGTACCGTTTTAAAACTGTGAAGGTAGAGTCTCCCACTTCCACACTGTAGAACTGGTTGTCCACTTTGCTTTTGCTCATGTTGTAATGTTTGGCAATATATGACACATCCACTTGTTTTCCGAAACCCTGCGTCAGGCAAACAGAACAGAGACACCCTGTAAGTGGAGCTGGAGGTGAATCCGAGTCCTAATTTTAAAAACAAGTGCAAGAAAATTCATTACAAAGTCACATTTTCAGCTCATCATTCATGCACAAGCCCGTCAGCTGCAGGACGTGTGCAGGTTTTTCTAAATGTGCTGCCTATTTAAAATCCCCACAACATTTTAGTGGGGTTCAGTTCTGGGCTTTGAGTCAGCTGTTTTACAACCCTCCCTTTCTGCTTTACTGAGGAAGTCCATTTTTCTTCTTAAACGTTCACTTGTAGTTCAGCTTCCAGACAGATGGCCTCACGTTGTCTTTGGACGCTGTTTGATACGATACTGATTTAAAGCTGCTTCAATCACTGCAAGCTGCGCAGCCTCAAAGGCACCTAACGATAAAAATGTTGGCTCCTATGGGTCACACTTTATCCTTAGTTGTAAAACAATAATAATAATAATAACTGTATTTGCTTTGTCTGTCCTGAAGTCAAAATTCAAAAAGGCGTAAAGCTGTAATATGCACAATATTACATCATCAACTAAAAACAAAATGTATGTTTTGTCCAGTTGCCTTGTTAGAGGTAACTGGACCTACTTTTATCATCTCTTTAAGCTTTACCATCCTAAACCTTTTAGATTTTATTATAGTGGAGCAACAAAATATTTTTCCCCAATTGTTCACTTCTTGCAGACAGCATGAAAGTTAATGTGAAGACTTATGTTCCCTGGATGTACCAACAGAACGTGGCAACCATATTGGATTAAAATATGGCTGCCAAGCATACACATTTACTCATAACTCATGTTGTGTAGTTCTTAAAATGGTAGTAGTTAGAGTGATCATACATGTGTTTTTAATGACAATGAACACAGTGGTGTTGCTAAAATTTGCACCGGAGATCCACCATCTTGGATTTCAAGATGGCTGCCTTGGATTTATAAATGCAACCCCCACCCAACTCATATGTTTTGCATACAGTATGTGTCATAGCTTGTTCTGGAAACAGCTTTTGTGCAAATGAGAATTAAACAAACTTTAAATGAGGGAATCAATGCAGTTGTTGTTGGATCTTGTTTGTTATGGATCAAGACGCCATCTTGAAGTCCCGTATGACAGACCTCGAATTCTTACTGTTCCCAAATATTTAAAAGACAGACAGAGATGCTTACTGGTATATTTAGGCCTGATGTGTCACAGTCTATGATGTGTCTAATTTGGTAATATGATTTTAAAACGACAGCTAGTGAGTGTTTATTTATTTATTTATTTATTTAGGTTTAAAGGAATTTATAGGCCAACCCAAAATGTTGTGCTTTCTGCAAAAAGTGAACAGTTCTGATGTAAACTCACTAATAATTAAACAAATCTTAGAGATCCAAAGACAAAATGAAGGAGAAATCACTTTATGATTGTTTGCAACACTTTGGTTTTAATAGTTTCTTTTTCCATATAACAAATATGACCACAAAAATGTGACTTTTATACTTTTTCTACAACAATATCACACTGGTTACAATGCACAGTTAAAAAAATGTTGAGTCTACCATTTCTGTCTGTTTAAATCTAACCCTATGGGAACAGCATAACTACGTCAGAACATACAAGTTCACAGTTTCTTGGCAAAAAGCTCTGTGATTTCCTTTTATGGTGTTTGTTACACTAATTGCTTCACTTAACTAAAAGTACACATTTACAAATGCACACACAAGCTCTAATTACTTAGCAGGGCAGACATGGAAATAGTGGCCCAACACAAATAATAATTATGTTCATTTTAGACTTTGTAATTACAACACAGCTCACAGACCAAACTGGGCTGTACTGCTGATAACTGCTGTGTAAATGTGAGCACTTTCTCAAAAAAGGCAAGAAAATGAATATAATGAAAGGTATTTGTGGTTAACATGTCTGACAGGTCGATCAAATATTTGATATAAGTATTTCCATATGCACTGTACAGCCCGTAATACCTACTGTGGCTATTAAACACCGAGATGCACATGCACATTGATGCAACATAGCATGCAAAGCTTTGGAGCAACCGGAGCTGCAGTTAAAGTGCTGGTGGAAGTCCTCGCACACAAACTGAATATATAGATTGCATAGTTTCCAAATGAGTTTGGCATTTACGCCATCAGAGATCATTGGAGGAAGGCAATTTAAGCTCCACTTTAACAAATGTCTCAGTTACAGATAAACACTCCATGTATTGAACTTTAATAGAAAAGTGGGTCTGGATCAGGATGAGTTTATTTTTGCTTACTCAAGCATCTATAAGAGGCTGAAAGCTCTCCATCCTCTCTCACCCGCTCTTCAAATTCCAGATTTAATTAAAGGATGTTGATGTTTGTGAGAACAAGCCACCGTAGAGTCATTTTGTTTGGGCAACATAGAAACAGCAACAGCTACCGTGCACAGACAAGAAAAATTAAAGGTAATGAATACTGTACCTTTTTTACCTGTAAGGAACACACACCTGACAAAAGGCTATCTTTACATCCAGGACTGGTTGGCTGCAGTTATATAAGAAATGTCTGCTCATAAATACCTGCAAGACACAAAGCAGAGGAGACGTATGAGAGACGTATGAGAGAGGGACAACGTGAAGTGAGAGAGCAGGAGTCTCCAACATTAGAGCTGACATTAGTGTCGACAAAAGAGCAGAATAAAAACATAAACTGTACCTACATCAAAACAGAACAAATAAGTCCACCTTTTCACAAAGGAATGCACTTTGCCCACTACGTCTCATGCCAGAGCTTTAAACTAAAATTAACTTATGTTGAAAAACGACAAAGTTACAGCCCTTATAGTCAAATTTTGAGAATAAGCAATATTGTGGGATTTTATGCAATTTAAATCTCAGAATATGTGTTGGGGAGGACTCTCAGCTGCTACCACATACATTTTATCTCAATATCTGTAAAATGCACAGATTTATGGCATATTTTTGTTTTATAAAAAAAATTAGCTGTGGCTATCTTAATGAAATGGACAGATGAACATCTAGGTCAAGGTCAAGGTTTTCTTTTTGTCATTCGCATCTCATGTGGTACATGTGGTGGACTGAAATTGTGTACACAGGGTCCCAGTTACATCCAACAAAGTATAAATTGTAAAACAGCAATAAGATCTAAGATATGAACTAAGAAATATGCTAAACACTTAATAGTGCAAAAACAATATGTCGAACAACAGCAGCACGAGCATCTATTGATATTAACGAGTTTCAGTAAAGTTTGTTCAATGGTTTGTTGTCTGCTTTTCATTACAGCAGAGGATTGAAAAGTTGTAGTAAATTGGTTCATCTTGATCTGAATCAGCAGGGAGCACTTTAAATTATTAAAATTTTAAAACCCATCTGAGATACTACTTCCTAGAAATTTGTCTTTGCAGTCTCCGTCTGTCTTTAAGGTGGGAACTGAATCCTTCTGGTAAAATCACAGCTGTTTTCTTTCTTTTTTTTGTCCCCATCACTTCCAATAAAAAAGAGAAAATCATCAAGTCACCACCACCCATTCCTCTATAAATATAAACTGACCAATACGTCATTTCAGTCAGCCCAGGACATGTCTGTTCTGAGGTGATGAAGTTAGAGAAAAACATGGTACTGTTTAATAAAACATTTAATGATTTTAATTTTAACATTTAATGAAACAAGGACAATGAGTTACATTTCCCTTTTTAGGTTAATAAAGTATTTTTCAGTTGAAATGACTTGAATTGAATTATATTTTTGTCAATTACTTATTTAACCACCTAAAACTAAAAATAGTTATAATAAAATCTTTTATACATAATTTTCCCTTATTTGTGAATTGTATAACCATGCTATAGATATCTAAAACATTTTAGGGGTAAGTTTCTTACTCAAAGCTCAATGTGAACATTGCTGTCACTTCCTGTTTTGTCTCTTTTTTTGTAGTAAACTTAGCGAAAAGATGAGCCTCTTTTTAAAAAGTTAAAGAATTTGCCATAGCCCAGCTCATTTTGGCAATTCAAATAAAACAGAATCATAGTCAATTTAAAATAAAATTTATATTATAGGTAAACATTGCATTAAAACCCTCGGCGTCATTATTTGTCATGTACTAGCTTGCTTGTCTTTAAATCTTTGTAATGCACAACCATAAAATCAAGGAAAATAATACAGTAGGGTTTGTATCATTAACCTGTATTTGTTGTGAAGAAAAAAAAAATTGAGTTTGAGAAATATTTACTCATCACCTTTGGAATTAGGTCTAGAGCATACAATTATCCGTTTACATTGTTTTTCCCAAGAAAAGGCTTTTAGTATTTTTAATCTAACTTTTCAAAAACATCAGTTTTACGATGCCTCAAAGCAGCTCTGCATCGTTTTTCATTTTGTTTCTTGTTATGTTGTATACAGTCATGAGATTATTGCTATGTTATTACCTAAAAAGATATAAAAGACTCATAGACACTATATTTATTTTTGACATCTTTTCCAGTCCATTTCTCATATTAGCAAAAGAGGAGGACATTTTATTCAAATAAGGTTGAATGAGCTGTGGGAGCAATAATATACAAATGGATAGTACATTGCATTTACATACTTCAATAAACTCTAACTGCAGCTCAAAAAATATTTCAAGATGTGAAAACCGTCAGTGTAATGGTGTTTCACTGTCACAGCTGAAATTTTTACTACATACCAATTGGTCAGAATATCAGAAATGGTCAATTTTGGTCAGCAAAATTAAGAAAGTGGAATATGAAATTCCAACTGATAACAATAAAAGATGTGTTGGAGTTCCTGGATGTGGCCTGAGTCCTAATCCTGCCTAAAACATCTTCATTTGGGGATTATCTTTTTTTTTCTGCAATCGCTCTCGTGCAAGGCGGACGCCTCCTCTCCCTCCTGTTCCCCTCCTGTCTTTTTGCTCTCTGTCTGTGTATCGGAGCTCCTGTTACACATCTTCTGAAACTAAAACTACTGTCATGGATCTGGTCAGCTGGACTTTTAACGCAATCGTCAAAATCTTTTCAATAAAACGACAGGGTCCTGGAGAGCCCTCATGCCCCACTGAGACTCACGTGGCAGGATATGTCATGGATTTGGGTGCTAATGTGTCTTTCCCTTCTGTCTCAGGAGGACGCCGAAGACGTTATATAATTGGATTTGTGATAGCAGGGTTTCTGCTCTCTGGCATCGGTGGATTCCTGTGTTGTTGGCTTTTAAGGGAGACAGCAACAGCAGTTTCGGCAATGGCAAAACTGCCAAGTCTGTGTGAAGGTTTGGTGCATGCTTTGAGTACTCAAAATCAGCTGATTTATGAGATAAGCTGTTAGGTGGACGAGATTTGTGAGAATTGCAGGCCACCTGCAGCTTTGGGACTCGCCAGCATGTTGGAGACGACCTTGGAGGAACCTCATAGGCACAGACCAGTGGAATGCCCACTAATCTGGCCATTTTGGATCTTGAAAGTATCAGCAGGACTCAAGGCTGACAAGAAAAAAACAGTCTGCCTGAAAAAAATCAACAATTGTGGCTTATCTGAATCTGACTCCCCCGGTTGACCTTGAAAACAGGCTGACTTATCAAATTTCTCCTGGGAAATGTGTAAACTAAGGAAAAACTTAGTCTATCACATACCTCCACCCCGAGAACTTCTGTGAAGGCTTATCAGAACTGTGCCAGCTGACCAACATCTTATCAGGACTATGGTCTATCTGGAAGTGCTTCATGGACAAATCTTACCGCCTTGCCGTCAAATGCATATGTAACGATTTTATAAATGTTCTTGCTGGCAGAGTTTTTTTGATGTTTAAATTGTGGCCTGATGGGACAAGAGATCTTTTTTTGAAATGCCACTATCCTATCCTCATGGATTTTCCCCCTTTTCTATCTAAAAAGTATTCTGAAAAAAGGATAAGGGGCTGCGCTCCAGCAGCAGCAGCAACGTGCACTGCTCCACCCATCATTCAGACAACTGTACAAACATCTCACTGTATCTTCTCAGTACAACAATAATAAAGCTTATTCTGGTTCTGATTTTGATCAGAAGGTATCCTGCCAATTTGGCCAACTGACTTTTACAGAGGCAACTCTACTCTGAGCCTCCCCATCAGAGGAAGTCCAGTTCACCAGCTTGTATTAGAAATTTAATTTTTCTGATCACTAACCAAAGCCTGAGGTGACTGACTGACTCGTAAATCAACAGCTTTGCATTTTATCTTAGATTTCTCATCACCTGGGCATGACGGCATCACACGAGCCGCTACACCTATCTGCCTGTCAATCATAAACTCCAGTAAACGTACTTGGAAACAACAATCTGAGATACTTCAATATTTTTCTCTAAAGGCAGAAGTTTTGTAACTAGTGGACCTGTAAAGCAGGGAAGTGCATTCTGGCAAAACTGAGGTTAATTTCAGCTCACAAAAGGACTTCAGGCAGGATAACAAAAAAAAAACAAAAAAACAAGACAAATGCCCCCAAAATGTTTGGATAGGCTCCTAATCTTTTTGAATTTCAACTGAGAGATGGTGCTTTTTGATTTAAAGAGGAATATCTCAAAACTTTCTGTGTATGTTTCATCTTAGCTCCACCAGTCCCATAACTCCATCACCGCTGAGCCTTTAATGTCTGCGCTATCTCCAAAGGGAGTAAGGCTTTAAAAGCAGAAATGTAGGACACAGTGGTTGGAGATTTCTGCTTCTGTCTTTTTTTTTCTCTGACCTTTATAATGTAGCGCATTCGCCATCCACATTTCGCCAGAGGCTGCGGCGCCCATACACAAACCATTTCGTTCTAAATTTGTAAATTAATTCTTATTAAAGAGAGATCAAATATGCACAGAGAAGGAGGAGGTTATGAGGACACCCACTCAATAAATCTTCGCTTCACTATAGAAATGCCACAACTTATGTATGTTAGACAAGACATCACGATCACCATGGCGACCAGCACGTTTTCTGTAAATCTGACATGGATCAACACTGACTCGACCCTGGCTGACTACAAGCCTGTGCTGTATCTTTATCATATGTGTGATTTTTAAAAACAAGAATTGAGATGTGCACGCTTACATTTACAGTAAATGCTTTGTTGATCTACACAGAATCAAAAATACAATGTTGAAATTTCTTACGTACACCCCCATTAATATTTAGTAAAATATCCCTTAGCAAGTTGCACCTGGGCTATAGGTGTTTTGGTCGCCATCCACAAGCTTCTCTTGGAGTACTATTCTTAGCAGAATTGATCAAATTCATTCAAATTGGTGTTTTTTTAACCTGACTTTTAAGTATAATATGAAAATGTTTAATATGACTGAGGTCAGGGCTTAGGGAAAGCCATTTCAGAAGGTTGTTAGCCTGATTTGATCATACAAAAACTGTTTTAGATGTGTGTTTGAGATCATTGCCCTGAAGTTGAAGATTTCAAAGGTGAGAGGGTCTGTGTGTGTTTTGTGATCCTTGTTTCATCTGTCCTGCCCTCCTCAGTGTTTCTCTCAGCTCCTGCCTCCGCCAGCTGTTGTCCTCCCCCAGGTGTTTGTGTTTATCCCCTGGTTAGTGTCTATA